GCCGAGCAGGGAGCCCGATGCGGGACTCGATCCAGGGACTCCAGGATCATGACCTGAGCCGAAGGCAGTCGCTTAACCAACTGAGCCACCCAGGTGCCCAATATTTTTTGCTTTAAAAGCTTATGTTAATACCAGCAGTCCACTTAAAAACTTAAAAAAACCCAGATATTAACATAGTATTATCTTCTCCTTTTACTTGAGACTTTTTTGTATTTTTCATATTTAAAGTGTCCATCTTGTGGGCAGCATACAGTTTGGTTTTGCCTTTTTTTAATCCAGTCTGCCAACCTATGCCTTAGTTGGGAGTGTTAAGACCATTGCATTGAATGTGAATATTGATGTCATTGTGTTTAAATCTACCATCTTGAGTTTTGTCTCCCTTTTTATCTGCCTTCTTTTGAATACTTGTTTATTATTTCATTTCCTCCTCTTTGTTGGCTTCTTGGCTATAATACTTTGTTTTAAATTTTAAGTGTTTTTAGGGTTTATTGTATGTAAATTTTTAAATTTTTTTTATTTTTTTGAGAGAGTGAGCAAGAGCGAGCATGAGTTTGGGGGGGCGGGGAGTGGCAGAGGGAGAGGCAGATGCAGACTCCCCACTGAGCAGGGAGACTGACTTGGGGACTCAATCCCAGGACCTGGAGACCATGACCTGAGCCAAAGGCAGATGCTTAACCGACTAAGCCACCCAGGCATCCCCTATTGTGTATGAATTTTCATCACATTCTAGTCTTAAGTAATATACCACTTCATTTATAGTGTAAGAACTTTACAGTAATAATATTTTTCCTACTCCCAGTTTGTGCTATTTTTTTAAAAAAGATTTTATTTGTCAGAGCGAGCACAAGCAGGGGAAGCGGCAGGCAGAGTAGGCAGAGGGAGAGGCAGGTTCCCACCGAGCAAGAGCCCGATGTGGGACGTGATACCAGGACCCTGGGGTCATGCCATGAGCCGAAGGCAGACGCTTAACCGACTGAGCCACCCAGGCGTCCCAGACTGTGCTATTTTTGTCATACATTTTACTTATATTTGTTAAAAGTCCCCACAGTACACTATTTTTGCTTAAATGGCTTTAAAGAGATTTTGAAGAAGAAGGAAAAAGTCTCATATATTTACCCATATATTTACAATTTAAGGTGTTTGTTCTTCATTTCTTTGTGTAGATCCAGATTTCTCCTTGGTTCTATTTTCCTTCTGCCTAAAGACATCCTTTAACGTTTCTTACAGTTCAGGTCTGTTGGTAATGGATTCTTTCACTTTTTCCAGGCTGAAATATTTATTTCAACTTAATATTTTAAAGATATTTTGCTGCGTATAGACTTCTACATTGACATTTTTTCCCTTTCAGTGCTTTTATTTTTTGATTTTTTTTTTTAAGATTTTATTTGTTTATTTGACAGAGAGCGAGAGCAGGAACACAAGCGGGGGGGGTGGGAGAGGGAGAAGCAGGCTTCCCGCGGAGCAGGGAGCCCGACTGGGGGCTCGATCCCAGGACCCTGGGATCATGACCTGAGCCAAAGGCAGACGCTTAACGACTGAGCCACCCAGGCACCCGGTATTTGTCTTTGACTTATTTTTCTTAGCATATTTAACTCCATCCTTGTCGTTGCAAATGGATCTGCTATCATTCTTATTATTGTTCCTCTACACGGTGTGTGGTCTTTTTCTTGTGATGACTTTTTTCCCCTAAGTTTGTTTATTTTTAAAATATTTATTCATTTGACAGAGAACACAAGCAGGGGGCGTGGCAGAGGGAGAGGGAGAAGCAGACTCCCTGCTGAGCAGGAAGCCTGATGAGGGACTTGGTGCCAGGACCCTGGGATCATGACCAGAGCCGAAGGCAAATGATTAACCAACTGAGCCACCCAAGCACCCCTAAGTTTATTTATTTTTAAGTAATCTCTCTACCCAATGTAGGACTCAAACTCTTGACCCCAAGATCAAGAGTCACATGCTCTAGGGGCACCTGGGTGGCTCAGTTGGTTAGGTGTCTGAGTCTTGACTTTGGCTCAGGTCATGATCTCAGGGTTGTGAGATTGAGCCCTGTATCAGGCTCTGTGCTGGGTATGGAGCCTGCTTAAGATTCTCTGTTTCTGGGTGCCTGGGTGGCTCTCCGACTCCCCCTGCTTGTGTTCCCTCTTTCGCTGTGTCTCTCTGTCAAATAAAATCTTAAAAAAAAAAAAAGATTCTCTGTTTCTCCCTCTCCCTCTGTCCATCCTCCCCCTCATTACCTTCCTAAATAAAAAAAAAAGGAAAAAAAAAGTCACATGCTCTTCTGACTGAGCCAGCCAGTCACCCCTTGTGACCACTTTTAAGATTAACTCCCTTCATTGGTTTTAATTAATTTGATAGGTCTTGGTATTGTTTTATTTATGTTTCAGTGTTTGTCGTTCCTTGAGCTTCTTGGGTCTGTATGTTTTGAGTTTTTGTTAAATTTTGAAAATTTCCAATTATTCTTTCTTCACATGTTTTCTTTCTCCTCCCCACTTTGTAGTCTCCTATTTTTTTTTTTTTTAAAGATTTTATTTAACAGAGAGAGACACAGTGAGAGAGGGAACACAAGCAGGGGGGGTGGGAGAGGGAGAAGCAGGCTTCCCGCCGAGCAGGGAGCCCGATGCGGGGCTCGATCCC